AGTACATTGTTGGCTAGGGAAAGGACCTAGCAGTTTACATTTTTCACATAGAGAATATCAATTTGACTATTTGATTGATTGTAACTCTTAAGTTCTAATTTTTACAATGAACTTCAAGTATTCATATACTTTTCTGAGTTGACTAGATATGTTGCTATGCTGGTTAATTTTTTTTTCTTTTGTCAACTTAACACAAACTAGAGTTATCTTGGAAGAGAGAGCCTCACCTAAGAAAATGCCTCCGTCACAGTGACTTCTAGGCAAGACTGTGGAAGAATTTTCTAGATTAATGATTGACGTGAGAAGGTCCAGTCCACTTTGCGGGCTGTCACTCCTTGGCAGGTGACCCTGGGGTTGTATGAAAAAGCAAAGTAAACAAGCCATGGGAAACAAACTAGTCAGAAGTATTTCTTCAAGGTCTGATTCAGTTTCTGACTCTAGGTTCCTGCCCTCAGTTATGGCCCTGGCTTCCTTAGGTGAAGTGTATGAAAAACAAACCCTTTTCTCCCCAAGTTGCTTTTGATCATTCTCGGCAACAGGAAAGCCAAAGAGGAAAGTTTCTGAATGTGTTTCTAGTACAGATTTTGTATTATGAACATTTGTATAGTTAGAATTGTAGACTTATGTGAAACTGTCAATAATGAATAATGACCTCATCAATGGTTATTTTGAACAATGGTTATTTTCAATGTCGGCAGATTAGTGGCAACATGAAACAGCAGTTCAGTAGCAGGGCACTTGCCTAGCATATACAAGGCCCTAGATTCTACTTTAAGGACAGCAAAAATGCAAAGTCAGTTCATTATGGGGTGCATTTGTCTTTGTCCTATTGCTGTGAAGAGACACCAAGACCAAGGCAACTGTTATAAGAGATCCCATTTAATTAGGGCTTGCTTACAGTTTCACAGGGTTAATTACTATCCTCATTGTGGGGAGCATGGCAACCTTCAAAGAAGCCCTAGGCTTGTAACTGGGAGGTACATCGTGATCATTAGGCAAGAGATGGGGGCCAGGTGCAGGCTTTTGAAACACAAGCCCTTCAACAAGGCCACACCTCCTAATCCTTCTCAAATAGTGCCACTCCCTGATGATAAAGCATTCAAATATATGAGCCTATGGGGGTCATTCATATTCAAACCACATCAGGGTGGTGTGACTCTCAGAATTTAAATAATTTTTAAATGTGTTTTCTGTTTCATTTTTCTGAATAAGATGATGATGAAGACATAACAAATGTAGATTTGGAGTAACTTATTTGTAGTATAAACTATTCATCGGTTGAGTAAACCCTGCAATATGTGTTTTAAGAGACAAGAACTTGTTGGATAAGAAAGTGGTACACCTACCTGGAGTTAGCCATGTTTCTGTAGTGTATTTCCACTTTGTATTATCATTATTGTGTCTACGGACTTGGTCACCTGTGCGTGGACACGAGGAGAATAGCACTGTTCAGAATGAAGATGTACATGTGGCTATACATATTTAAACTGTGTACTTACTTGATTTCTTTGGTTCTAATATGCTGGTTTCCATTGGTCCCTTGGTGAGCTCCAGGCTGTGGGCACATATATGTTGACACCATTCTATAACTAGGCTTTTGTCCCAACAGAGCTCTCAGTGGGACTTAGCACAAATATGTGAACCATGGCCTGTGTGTGTGCTTGAGTGCTGCTTTAACATGGGTATCTAGCAAGGAGACTGAGGCCAGTATAAAGACTACTTCATCAGGCTCTTCAGGAATTGATGAGATTACTCTCATTTCATTGCTTGGTGACATCAGTAATTTCTATTCTCTTTGCTCAGGCATGTTGGTAATATGTTAGGAAACCCAGAACTCTGAAATATATTAAAAATCAAGGGTTTTCTTTGAGGACCCAGAGTTTTATATCTTGTTCACAGTAGATCCTTCAAGTGGCCTCTAACTTACTATTTGTCTTCAAGAAACAGTCTAGACGTTTTATTAATTTGTTTATCCTCATCATACTTGTATTATTAATGTCATGTTGCCTTTGATATTTGGGCTACATGCCATGTTAGATTATCAAATGAATATATCAGTTGCGTAGTTCCCAGATCCCATCAGTGGTTCTTTGGCGGTGGGTGTAAGGGACACAAAAGGCAGTACCAGAATGTCTAAAATGATCAGAGTCAGAGTCAGCAGCAGCACAGGTGGGAATGTTCCAAAGGGCGGGGGCTCACTCCACCGCATGTGTTTTCCATCGATGGCTGCTGTTCTTCGGTTTTCATAATTACAACTTCAGGCTGTGTCCCTCCACTCCAGCATGCGTATTCCATTTGTGGCTTGCCTGTTTCCTATGCATTTCCTTCCTTCAACCCACCTCCCAGCCACATTAACATTACTCCCAGTTAAAATGAGTACTGCAGGTGCTCACAGCAGGTCTTGGAAAAAATAAAATAAAATGGAAACTTCTTAAGATTGCCTTGCGTTAAGTTAGAATGTTTTGGTGAGGAGAGGCCCACAAGCTTGGCCAGAATGGGACAGTTGGAAATGTAGGTGTTTTGCTGGCAGTCTATATCACTTCTTTTCACTGTCATTTGTTTCAGCCAAGCATGTAACTGGCTAAAACAAATGATATCGCTGGAGAGGTTAAAGCGGGAAGCCTAATAATAATGTTAACCTGAAATAAAGTTGAGTCTACCCTTTTGTTCTGAGTCCACTGATGAAGTGGCATTTATGAAATCTTAGGATAGGTCAGTCAGGGAGACAAAAAGCACAAGATTCAGCAGCGAGCAGTGCAGCAAACAGAAGAGAGCATGAGTAGGCACATGTAGAGCAAATGCGCTTGTGCAAATGTATGTCTGTGCCTCCTAAGTTCTAGGAAGGAAAAAAGAGAGAGCCCCAGGAGACTGTGTGAGTTCAGAGCTGTGCTCAGGAAACTGGAGGGAAGAATGAGCACAATGAAATGTGGGTCAGTAGAGCAGGGTAGTAAGCAGTGGATGTCCAGGGCCCAGAGTGGCCTTTCCTCCTTTTCCAGCTTGCTATTCTGTGCAGCAGAGCTCTTACCCACATCCTAGCATTTGCTGTGTTGAACATGATTCTAGTCTCCGTGCTCTTTCTTGGACACATGAGTCCACTGTCTAACATCAAGTCCTCTCAACAGTCACAGTCGCATACCTTTTAATTTCTCAGAGACTGAAGTCTCCTTCTGACTGTATCCCTAAAGCTCTGAACTCAGGACCCTCAGCGTTCACCACCATATGACTGACTGACTTTCCCTCTCCCTGCTCTTTCTCTTCTCTCCCCCTCCCCCTCCCTTTAAAGCAGTGTACATTCTCAGTCATCTGGTTTGTTCATTTTTCTGTTTTTTGTGATACTCCTCTAAGATGAGTATAAAATACCTAAGGTATTTTGCCTGCCACCACACAGAGCATGCGGTAGGTGCTCGAAACAATGTGTGTTCAATCCACCAGTGGCAGTGGGGGCTCCATTATGTTTAGGTCAGAGAAAACTTAGTATTCCTTTCCATGTCCTAAGCATGGAGCTATTTGCTGAGAGGCAGGAGGCATGTAGTGAGTGTTAGGCGAGCAGTAGCTGATGTTGCTATGGCATTGTAGAGTCACACATCTCTTCCTTTGTGCTTCTTAAAAACCTCACAGAGGGCCTCTGAAAGACTCTACCCAGCAGTGTATCAAAGCAGATGCTGAGACTCATAGCCAAACTTTGGGCAGAGTGCAGGGAATCTTATAAAAGAAGGGGAGATAGTAAGATCTGGGGAGGACAGGAGCTCCACTAACAGAGCAACCGAACCAAAAATCTGTGCACCAGGGGTCTTTTCTGAGACTGATACTCCAACCAAGGACCATTCATGGATTTAGCCTAGATAACCCAGAACCCTTGCTTAGATGTACCCCATGGCAGCTCAGTATCCAAGTGAGTTCCCTAGTAAGGAGAACAGGGACTGTCTCTGACATGAACTCAGTGGCTGGCTCTTTGATCACCTCCCCTGATGGGGGATCAGCCTTGCCAGGTCACAGAGGAGGACAGTGCAGCCAATCCTGATTAGACCTGATAAGCTAGGGTCAGATGGAAGGAGAGGAAGACCTCCCTTATCAGTGGACTTGAAGAGGGGCATAGGAGGAGATGAAGGATGGAGGGTGAGAGTGAGAGGGAATGAGGGAGGGGGCTACAGCTGGGTTACAAAACAAATAAATGTAATTAATATAAAAAATAAAAATTTAATTAAAAAAACCTGGAAAACAGCAACCCTAGGGAATATTTCAAAGAGACAAACTTGAAGGGAACAATTATGTGGGTTGAACCAACATTAGTAAATTATGTCAAAAAAAGCTGCTGGCCCCATTCCTTTTTTGGGGTCTATTTGGACATTGTAGCTCTTGCAGACTGAAATTTCTGCATATAATGAGCCAAGATGTTATGTTTTTATCCTGCTCATTGACGCTCCTATGTGCATTTTACTATAGGAGTACTTATCTTGACTCTGTGCTATTCCCCCACTTCTCAAAGTAGTTCTGAATAAATTTGCCTACCATTGTTAAATTTGGTGAAAGGGGCTTGAAGATCCTGTTGTTTGTTTTCTCACGGGAGCACACTTCTGCCTAGCTGTACAAGTGAGGCTCAAGTCAGTTTCTGTTGTAGCTGGATTGGGCCGTAGCTGCCTGGCTAAGATACGAGAGACTGTATACTCTTCAGTTACCCTCTTTAGATTTATGATGAAATGCAACAGTAGTTGATTACAATCTCATCAATACATGATGACAATAAAATATCCCTTATTTTGTTGATACACAAGATTTTTAAAAATTATCTGTGGTGCCCAAACTGGTGCCCAGTAGTAACCTGTTCACATTTACTTTTTTTTCTCACACACCTGTCCTTGTGTCCTCCCAGCTACCTCTCTGGGCTTCTGTCCTAACAGGCAGCAGAACAGGTCACTCTTCGTTCAATACAGTCCTCACAAGTGGTTGATTCTCCTGTCTGCTCACTGTTTAGTAATCTGCCACGCCCTTTCGTTCTTTAGCACTGCAGCGATAACACGCATCCCTGCCAGTCAGACATGAATATTGAAGGGGCCTGGAAGAGAGGCTACACGGGGAAGAATATCGTGGTGACTATCCTGGACGACGGCATCGAGAGAACCCACCCTGATCTGATGCAAAACTACGTGAGTGTTTGCGGCATGCAGAAGTCCTTTCTCGTTGGCGGTGGGGGACTCCTGTTGGATGGTCATGTCCTGGGAGAGCTACTGACAAAAGTAGCGAGACAGGGCGGGCTTTGGGCTTTGCTCCCTCCTCGTAAAAGGTGACCCCGTAAAGTGCAAGACTCACAAGGCGATGTCCTTCCGCTTCTTCGTGCCTTTGGTGCTGCGGCCTTCAAAAGGACAGCCATGAAATATTAGAAACCCTGCCACTAACCCTATTTGTTACCAACCATGCCCATTCCCAACAGTTCTGCCAGCCACTCATGCAGCACACAAACTGTCCTCTATGGTAAAGAGCAGTTCTTCTGCCAATTTTTCTTCCCTGCATCTTTTTTAAATATATATATATATTTTTATTTTTGAGATTAAAAAAAAATACATCATTTACCCCTTCCCTTTTCTTCCTCAAGCCCTCCCATTACCACTCCTTGCTCTCTTTTAAGTCTGTGACCTCTCTTTTCATTAATTGTTGTTACATACATATATATATTATATATATAATATATATATATATATTCCTAAATATGTGACTACAGCCTGCACAGCCTGTATAATGTTCCTTGTATTTATGCTCTCAGAGCTGACCATTATTTCTCTACCCTTGGCCTTCCTCGGATGCCTACAGTTCTTTGTATAGGGTTGAAGCCTGTGAACTTACCCAGTCTACTTTAGTGTGTCTATTTTCATTGATCTTGTTCAGCTCTAGTTTAGGCAGCCATATTGGTGAGACTTTATGGGTGTAGCGTCTGACATAACAAGGATGCACAATCTCAAAGTAAACTCCCTGATACTCTGGCTCTTGAAATCTTTTTCTGCCTCCTTTGCCCCAGTGTTCCATGAGCCTGCGGTGTAGGAGGCACCTCCACAATTGTAGAGACTGGGCCTCACAATTCTGCGTTTTGATTGGTTGTGGTTTTCTGTAGCAGTCTCTGTCTGTTGCAAAGATACCCACTTCGACCTTGCCTCTCCTTCCTTCATATCGATTAATTCCATTCTCAAGAAGAAACTGAAGACTCCTTTAGCTCTGCTTTGAAATCACTCCGTGGCCAAACACATTCAGATAAATGTGTGCCTCCTAGTTGCATAGAACTTAAAGCCTGAACTTCAGTTCAGTCTCCTCAGACACGGGTGAAGAAACTAAAGGCTGGAGATTGAAGTCAGTTATCCTGGGTTAGATACGAGATCAGAACTCTGGCTGCCTGTACCCCAGGAGGGACATTTGTCTTCTCACATGCCAGGAGAGTCTCTGTGCTTGTGCTTCTCCCTGCTCCAGATGACTGGACTTCGTTAAGTGAAATTTGCTTCTACCTAATTATGTTGGCAGTTTTCACTCTGAAAGAACACTCTCTAAGATTACCTGTTCACTTATTAATGACAGTGCTAACTCAATTCTTAATTGGTGGCCAGCAAAAGCACAAGATTATTTAGACCCAAAGACTTGGGCTTCTTTCTGGTTTGTTTCATGACAGACAGGCTACAGATTAGCTAGTTTGATGCCTCTGATTCCTCCGAGTAAAACTGTTATGTTTGAGTCACTCATTCCAAAGCCTGTCAGGCTCTGACAGCCACTGCGAGGTAGCAGGGCTCCTGTGTGCAGGAAGCTGAACTTTATAGTGCTAGGTGCATCATGTGTGGTGCGTAATTCTCCAAAACAGTTCAAATTCTATGGACCAAAACTGATTTTCAGAAACACAAGCACTTTGCAAAGATTGAAAGCAAAGATAACACTGGCTTTTATTAATGCGGGGCATAGATGCAATCATGAAGCATAAGGGAATTAATATTCTGGTGCAGGCTAAGAGCAGGAATAAAAATTTAAACATTGGAAGTGACCCTGTGAGTTTTTCTTCAGTATTTTGGAGCCTTCTTCATAACCAATTTCTGAAAGCAAACAAATAAATCTGACTCTGGTTTCCAGGGTTGTGTTTCCTCATTTTAACCCTTAGCTTAGGGCAGCTTTGCCCATAACTTGGGCTGCTCTCCGAGCTGTGGGGTCATTGTAAGAGTCTGTCTTGGAGACTTTTATGTAATAGAAATTATGCCTGAAGCAAGACTAATGCTGTGTAATTCAGATCCCAGGAAACCTGATAGAATAAACATCTAATATCTTAGCTGGCTTGATGTGAACAATTGCTTTTTTCTTCTAAAAATCATTAAAATATTATACAGATTATTACAAGCTCATGAAATTAAGTAAGGGTGGAAAACATTAAAAAAAAAAAAAACCAAAGCTGCTAGTGCTTAGAAAATATGAAATTGAAGTATCTCTGCAAGATAAGCATCTCATGAACTGGATCACTCTGGGTAAGAAGGGGAAGTCCTTTCATTTGTCTAGACTCCTTCACCTCAAAGGCAGAATTCAGCAATGATTATTATTGAACCAACAGTGTCTCCCTAAACCATGGGTATATTCATTAACCTAATTACTCTCTTGCAAAAATGCTCTTAAAAATGCATGAGCCTGTGGGTCAGTTCTAATGACAGTCTGTTTCCCCTCTCTTCTTCATGGTCATAGGATGCTCTGGCAAGTTGCGATGTGAACGGGAATGACTTGGACCCGATGCCTCGTTATGATGCAAGCAATGAGAACAAGTAAGATTCAGAGGGCAGGCTGGCAAGTGGCTGGCCATAAGCTCTGCTTTCTGCTTATGCTGAGGGAAGTCTTCTCTTCAAAACTCTTGGTAACAAATGGTCTTCAAACCACAGCAAGAGAAACAGGTATCTTTTCACTGAAGTTTCTGAGTAAGGAACTGAGTTGTCTACAAAGGAAAAAGTAGATAGTAGCAGAGCTCTGGGGATTGGCTCAGCATCTCAAAATCTCAAAAAGTGAAGATGTTAACCCCTGAGATAATTAGACCCTAACACATTTCTTCAGAGATAAATGTGCTAAGGGGAGAGGAAAAAACAAAAGAGTTATTTCCAGAGGGTCAGTTACTGTTAAATCCAATGTATTTGTTTGGAATTGTGGTTATGGTCACAGACTGGGTTTTATACCAGGGCACGATAGCACACTCAAAGAATTATTGCCAGTCACAGGCTGCACTGTCTCTTCTATCACCCTTCCTAATCAAGAGGACAAATTTCTCTTTCCACTTAGTATGGTAGTTTTTAGTGAATAAAAATGAAAATGCACACCCACTGGATAGCAGTGTCTTTATCTTTCTTCAGTAAGTACGTAACAGTGGTTTTCCTGCTTACGGAAACTGTGGATATTCCTGATCACTAAACTCATTAGCTGATCTCTTCCCTCAAAGCTCTTCTGGGGAAACATTATAATTTAGAAGATTTCATGTGAGTTTTTCTTAGTGTGTTTGGGTCGGGGCCACAGAAATGCGAAGAGGACTGCTTGGACCATATATTGTGTGCTATTTGCAATCCGCTGCTTTTCTTTAGGGGTAATTTTCTTTAGGGGTAGTATTTGGTTAAGTAAGTCAACCAGTTCAGATAAAATCAGATGACCTGGAAAAACTTTCTATTGCTTCTACCATCTACAAAGAAGTTCCAAAAAAGAATCTGTAGAAATATACCAGGTGTCAATATGGACAACCAAGTATATATGACAAATATAGATCTGTAGTGAAAACTGTGATGCATAAATTGATATATGTAGACTTTCCCAGAACTTCCTCACAAAAGGAGAAGGAGCCTAAGTTATATATCATAGACTTCTTTCAGACCTAGCTTTTATTGTCTAGATTATAATGTCCATGAGTTTCACACAAGTAGGAAGAATTTAGGCAATGTGAGCTGATCTTTTTTAGCCCAATTACAAGCCAGCATGAAATGATTTGAATCGTTTAATATTTTAAAATGCACTGTTGCGTTGTATGGGGCGGGGGAAGGTATGAGAAATCTCTGTCCTTCCATATTTGCTTTGTATTTAAAACTTCTTTAAAAGTAACCTTGAAAACAAGAAACAATACGCTGTAGTGCTTCTCCATGACCTGTTCTCCTAGCATGTAGCATAGGCCTGACCGAGAGTCAGATGACACACTGCAGAATCCTCAACACAGAGAAGTGACAGAATTGATGCCCATAGCATTCACAAAAGTCGCTGGCCATTCTGCACACACCATAAGGATGTAATCAAGTGATAGCTTAGTTCTGTGTATGTTAAAGAGCTGAAAGTATCACAGCTGCAATAAAGTGGTTCTTCACCTCAAAAACCTCAAGTGTGCCTATTTTTCTTATAAGCACAAATATACCCGTTCCTGCTCACACTCGTACATGCAAGAAGGAGGTAAATGCTGAAAACAAGAGCAGAAAACAGATCAGCGAGGGAATAGACAAGGCAGACAGAGGATTAAGCAGAGTGGAGGGTGTGTGGGTTGAAGGAAAGCCCCCCGAAAGCAGGCGGAACTGCAGCTCTGCCAGTGCGACCACTCCACTTGGGGGTCCTTGCGTCCTGAGTTGGGAGCCGTGTGTCTGTGTGCCCTCCATGTTCTGCTTATCTGATGCGCTTTGTTTTGTTTAATTCACCTAGAGATCCAAGGAGAGAACCGCACATAAACAAATGCCAGTTCCACGTATGCTCAGCGGAGTCCCTAATGTACCAGTCATGTCGTAAGAGTCTGTTTAGCCGAGCAAGTGTCACAGTGGGGCTGACTGCAATGTGCCTGTTCACTACATTTACCACAGAAATGTCTGCAGAGAGAAAAGAAGGGGGCAGGGAATGTAAACTATCTAGGTCAATGCCCAGTGTCCTCCTGCAGGATGTGAATGAACAGATATTCTGTGGGTAAGAACTGGAGATCGGTGCATTGAGCCTTGGAGCTAGTTATGTCTAAAACTGGTACATTAGCTATTTATGTCTAAATTTACCTGTGGTGCTTTTGCATCGAAATGGAGTGGAGATGGTGACCATTATGAAAGGCATGATGTAACGATGCCAACCAGTATGTCCATGTGTAAAGGTAGTTCGTTGAGTGTAGGTTTTACTAATGAATGAAAAAAAAATGTTTTCGCTCTTCAAGACAGGGTTTCTCTGTATAGCCCTGGCCGTCCTGGAACTCACTCTGCAGACCAGGCTGGCCTAGAACTCAGAGATCCACCTGCTTCTGGCCCCCAAGTACTGGGATTAAAGATTTGTGCCACTGCCACCCAGCTCAGACTATCCCTTTAAACCTATATGCTTAGGTGTAGTGGTAAAATAATATAGAGTGCTAATGGGTTGAACTGGGATAATTGCTTTTAAACGAATTATTGGAGAATTTCTCCTTCTAGAGTGTGCCAGTGTGTCCCATTTTGAGCCACTCTAAGAACCTCCCATGGCTCCTTGAGTGCAATGGAAGTTTGATTGACGGATGATACCAGCATTATTCAAGATGTGTGCTGATAGTTGTAGTCTTTAAAAAAGAAAACAGTTTTTGATTGAAATAGAATCACTTCATTTTCTCCTTCCCTTTTTTCCCTCCAGCCCCTCCAGGATGCCTTTCTTGAAGTTCTCCTATGTCACCACCCACTTTTTTAAGTTGACAGCTTCTTTGTATTATTATTATTGTTACGTGTGTGTGTGCTGTGTACACAATTATATATAAATACAACCCTCTGAGTCTTTTTTTGCTGTTGTCAAGTATATGCTTTCAAGAATGACCACCCTACGTCTACACTGGATCACCAATAAGGAATTTTTTTGTGGGGGGGGGGAGGTCTTGACAGTAAATTGGTAAATTTTCAAGATCCTACACCAGCATTCCCTATATCTGTTTATGGAAGCTTCAGACCCCATGATATCATGTGTCCTTTTAGCCTGTCAGTAGTTCTGCCTATTTGTGTGTGGGTGGGTAGGTGTGTTTTGTTCATTGTTTGTGGGTCATGTGTGTGTGTGTTTCCCTCTTGGCTAGCTAAGGGCATGTATTGTAGCATTCCTGGTTAAAATACCTCTGATAGTAGCCTTATGCTGTCAGATCCAATTGATGGATATGTCTTCAAGCATGGATCCATGAGTTGATCATTCTGCCTAGACAAAGGTCTCATTATGTGAAGAATAAGAGTAGATTCGTAATTGAGAAGATATAACTGAACCTGGACTCTCTGTGATTAGCTTCGGATCTAACTACCCTGAACTTTGCTACTTAAAAATAATGCATAGGCAGTATCATAACATTAGCACAACACTCTACAAAACAACAGTACACTGTTTAAAACCCTAAACTAACTGCCTACTGGGTGTTGAATAATTATAGCTCTTATTACTATAATTATATGTTCTGTTCGCTTTTCTGACTCCTCATAATCAGTTAAAGTTAAAATTATCTCAAAGGATGTGTGCATATGATCATTTCACATCTAATTTAAGTACTGGGAACTCCATCTCCAGGGTTAAAGGTTGAGCTGGACGCTGTTCAGCCTCTGAGGGATGGAAGCTGCAAGTCACCCAGTCCTCAGTGCAGTACGGGTTTTGTTTGTTTAACTTTTTAAAAACTTATATTTTATGCCTTTTAAAGTAGATTTGTATCATTTTCCTTTTCTTTCCTCCCTCCAAGCTTTCCCATGCTCTTGCCCTCAAATCTATAGCCTCCTTTCCTCTGACTGTCATTGTTACATAGATATGTATGCACAAATGTATAAATATTACAAGTGGAGTCTGTTTTGTTGTTTATGTGTGGTTTTAGCACTGACTACTTTGTATTGAATAACCAATATAGGAGCTCATACCTTGGAAAGGCCAATTTTCCTTCCTCCAGAAGTCATTGGTTGCTTGGGACTCTATATAATTTTTCTTCTTCCATGTTAACATGTCGATTGATATTCCCATTGTTCTGCAGCCATTTCTAGGAAAGACTGTTTCACAGTGGACTTCCTAGAATTCTGGTTCTTTTGATCTTTCTTCTCCTCTTTTCTAGTGTTCCCTGATCCATAGATGCAGAGAGTCTGATGTAGACGGATCTGTTGTGGCTTGGTTTCCCTCGGTGTATTTAGATCTGACTTGGGTCAAATAGTGTTTTCCTGTGATGGTCTCCATTGGCTCTAAAGAGAAGGTGCTTTGATGAGGTATGCGTGCAGGTGATATGACATGGGAAATGTGAAAACAGGCAGGGGACACCCAGTGGAGTTAGGGGAGGAAGAGCAATACAGAAGTAGAAGGAGGGACAAGGGACAGATACTGTAGATGTGTGAGTAAAGCTTCAGGGGATCATTATTTATAGTTACCCCCAAATTTGTATACAGTACATATAAGTATATGTATATATGTGCATATATTCATATGTGCATATATAGTCATATATATATATGTCTGCATATATATACTATAAAGGAAGTTATGCCACTTGGTTGACAGACCATAGACTAACAAAAAATCATAGTACCAGATACAAGAAATCTCCTTTAGAATAGTTGACCAGTGTACTCCAAGTGGCTCTCAAAATGATATAGAATAGTGATGTAACCTTTGGTTGCCTGTCTGAGATTGAGGCAAGCTCCTGTTGGTTAACACACCCCACTCTTAGTATCCAGGTCTCAGATCACTCCTGCTGGATCTAAGCTGAACTCCTCCATCCTGCAGTCTGTTTTCAATGGTAGCAGAAAATGCTATGCAAGCTGCCAAGGGAAGAAGCAATTAATTTAATCTAAGATCATTAAGGAGAAGA